TTTTTTTTTTCTTTTTTTTTTTCAGTAATTTACTCGAAAACACTGTCGCGCGCGCCCCACAACCTTACAACAACTTCTTTTCGATTGTATATATATCGTGTACTATTAAAAAATGTCGTAGAGTTTTGAAACATTTTTTAAAACCGTACCACGGCTGACGCGCTAGAAGACGTTATAAATAATAAAAAAAACGCTTTTTGGATGAAGCGAACCATGTAGGTTGTTTTTAATTAAACCACGTTTGATAAACCTGCTCAGGATGTTTTTATTTGAGGTAAATTGAATCATTTCCGTGTGATAAAAATACGTGCCGACGAAAAAACTCTACTCAAAAACAAGAAGTCTTCTTTTAAGATAATTTTCGTTCATTGCCTTGTAAGGTGATAAGAGATTAAACTTGATCGAGTTGATAAAAGGAGTTGTATTATCAATAGAAATTAAAACTGACGCTCATGTTAAATAGAATAAGCCCAACTTTGATTGAAATACGATGGCCCTTCAAACACTTTACTCGAAATCATAACGCTTCTAAGCTACGCTCTCACAACTCAGATAATTAAAAGCTGACTGCTATTCGAGAATTAGATTCTGCCTTATTTCCTTTGTTTAATTCGTGTTATGAACTTGAATAAACATCAGCGGAGACAAAATGGCTCCCATTTGCCAATTGATTTCGTATTTCTTAAAACTAGTACTGACATGCGGACAAAATTGTCGAAAATTTTGTAGTTTAAATTACATTCCTTACTTTTTCGGCTTCAAAAATTTTTACGCAATAATTCTTTGTTTAGACTTAAGCAGAGTCACTTTAAGTCGGCCGCCCTCGTGATTTAATTATCTATACTTATGATACAGGAAATTGCACAAACAATAGCGTCTTTTGCAGACCTCTTAATTCATAGCGTTTCTCGCCGTATGTGGGATGACATCATTTCCTCCCATGACCGCATAGTGTTCAATCATTGGTTATAATACACACTTTAGTCATAGCTTTGTTCAATTTATCAACTAGACATGCCACTGATTATTTTTTTCGTGGTTTCTAGTGGCTAAATCACAGAGAACGCGCCAGCTATCTCCAACTGAGATAAAACTTGAACAAAATATATTAACTTTTCCATGACTAGAAAAAATTTGAGAAGATAACATCGCATTTGAATGGTGCTGCGTCTTAAAATATCTTGTAAATATGCGCGAAGATTCTGTCGAGACTAACCACGTCTCACCAAACGTCTTAAAATAGATTTTCCATATACGCGCAGTGTTTTTTGTCTCATCTAGGTCCACCCAACAAGCGTAAAACATGTTTGCCGGAGATACGCTTTTTTAAGCGTCGTTTTCGCGGTTTTAATAGGAGATCATAATCATAATCCCTGTATTGCAGATGTTCCATTTGTGCTACTTTTGACAATTACACGCCTTCGCCTTTTGTCGCCAAGTCCTATAAATTAACAAGGTTGATGAATAGAACGCCGCGTTTCTGGCACGTGGGGGTGAAGCAGACGGAACTACAATAAAACAAGCACTGGGTCAGAGATCAGACTGTTGGAGAAAAGATGAAAATCACAACAGTACTTCTATTTGCAGTTGTTGTACTTCTGTTTGGAATGGCTTGTTCCAAGAGTGTCAGAGAAGTCTTTGAAACAAAAGGTAAAACGTACTTTGAAGAACGCTCTGTCTATACAAATGACAACGTCGTTCGTATATAGGTAGCGTCAACTTGCTGTAAACTAAAAAAAAAAAAATACAGCTTTTGAAGAAAATCTCTTTTACTCCAAGAATGAGCAATATCTAAACTCCTTTTCTTTATAAATCAAAGCAGTTTGAAGTATTCAAATGACAAGAGTAGTGAAATCGTCAACCGCTCTGTTGACATAATCTTGATTTTACAACAAATTCTCAAAACTAAAATTAAGAATAATAAACGACAAAGATATCAAGAAAATGGAACTAAATTTTAATTTTGGGATAGAAGAGTTGCAACATTCCTTACCAGTGTACACTAGAACCTGTGTACAGTGAATATGTGTGAAGTTTTTCCGAGAACGAACTTATATATCAAATATTCGAGGGATTTTTTTTTTAGTGCATAAGCAAAATTTCCGTTATATTCTAGTAATTGCTCAATCTTATATTAGATAATAGAATTGAGCAACACCATGCTTCTCGCAACAGAGTGAACAATCACTTTCAAAATTTTATTTGGAGCAGAAAGAACCAACAAGATATTTCGATCAAATGTTTTGTTCGTTAAATATTCACAGAAAAAGTGGAAATGCGAATTTGGTAGCCGAGGTTGTAGCGATGCACTGTAGAAAAGTCAAGATTCAATTCAAATTGATCCGAGGCTGATCACTGTACGTTTTGCCTTTAACAGCAATATTGAATATTGCTCTCACCTTTTCAGTGTTAGACTGTTCGTAATTAAGTACACTATTTTTAGCCATTTCTGTGGACGTGTAAAGGAAATAATTCCCTGAAATTACTTATATATTCTCATCCCAAGCAACAAACACTGTTTATTGCTACCGAAATGGTTGTTTCAAACACTTTTCTTGTCCCTTTAGGTTCATTGATAAAATCGTTAGTAGTTTAGAAAAAAAAAAAAAACAGAAAAATGGAAAAGTCCGGCATTCTGCGAAATCTTCTTTACAGAAGTGGAAATGAAATTTCAAACGAAAATATGCAAAGCAAATAGAGCATAAATGTGCAAATTTGATATCGACGAAAAATCCTCGGAAGTAGACATCATTCTGTAGGTTGCCTAATTATGTCAAGGGGAAAACGTAATAAAAAAAAAGACATGTTAAAAAAGAAACTGAAGTCACAAAGGAAACGCGCTTTCAGGCATGCGCACTAGTTTGAGTTCTTCATAGGTGACGTCTCGTGCTTTAATTTGGCAAGCCGCTTTACTCCTGTCCCCATCGATTTACATCAACTTTAAAAATAAATTAGGTGGCTTGCAACAGTTTACAGTATTTTCAAAATATCTACAGCATGAATATTTATCGGTGTACAACAGTTTCAGTGCATGTTACACAGAATGGAGTCGATCAAATATCCATTTATTCATATACATTTTATTTCTTTATTTTCTTCATAGCAACGGTATCAGTACCTGTTGAAGCTTCCCTTATTTTAACTTTAAGTGCTTAGGACTCGTTAACGGTTTCAGTGAACCTTAGTATCTATTATCGAATTATAATTAGCAAGTCATATATCCAAGTTTTTATACAAACGTTTAAGAAAAAAAATTCAGAGCCATTGGCGAATTAAATGCTTGGGGTTTCTCAAAGGGAGTCTGAGAAACACAAACAGCAACTAATAATATCCGTCTTTAAGTTTTGTAAATTACTTTTTGGAGTAATGAGTTGATGAACTTACAATAATTCTGGCTTTTTCCATTTTTTCAGACATGACTGATGACTTCGAAGATGAAGGAAATCAAGCTGACTTACAAAGTAAGGGCTTGCATTATTTGGTCAGCTGCNGGGGGGGGGGGGGGGGGGGGGGGGGGGGATTTTTACCGCCCTTTTGGAAAGCAAAAACATAAGAAAAAAATTGAAAAAGATTGTGGATATCATAGACAATTCTCAAATTGTAACATTTTGTGCGCGAATATCATTGAATCTGCAACCCTAAGGTAACAGCCACACAAGGTAGCTATATCACTGGTGATATAATTCTACCATACGGAATCAAAGCAACACATACAGTAAATTCAGTTATTTAAAAATATGCAAGGTCAAAAATGTTTTAAACTCTTCAAGACTTAAAAGCAGTCAGAATCACAAGATCTATTACAAGATCGATTTTATGACTGAGTTTTGTTTTGAGCCGTTACCAATTTCCCCTTTGGCCCTGCCATTGCAATACTCGTTGGAAATAATGTCTTTAAGACCTAAGTCTACAGTTAACCACTCAAGCTTATTTTATCCGTCTCCATCTTGTAATCTTCCACTTTAAATGATTCGCTTTTTCGGAATAAATTTTTCTCAATCATATCAGTATCTATAATACAGCATATTCAATATAACAGTTATTCCAATCGCGCTTATTGGATATGGGATGGTAGATAGCCAACGAGGCGCATAGCGCCAATTTGGCTATAACCAACTCATATCCAACAAGCGCGAGTGGAATACTTGTTTTATTAAAAACGCAACCAAAATACTAAACTAAAATAAAATAAAAATAAAAACGCCCCCCCAAAAACACGCGTACGCTTACCATATTTGTAGAGCATGGTATAATGGATCATATCATGATGGCTAAGCCAATGAAAACTCTTGAATTGCATGATCCAATGATCCAGTTTTTAATAAATAATCTTATTACATAACCTAACGTCGACCGTTTTCAATCCACAGTGTGAATGTCAAGGCGATATGGCAATTGGAGTTCAATATAGGGTTGTGTCTTGTACAAGAAGGCCTTGTCACTTTATCCGTGCTCCGCGATTCCAGCAAGTTTGCAAATGTCATTAATGACAGATAACACATGCTAACTGATCTCTGAATGTATAAGACTAAATAGGAACGCCAATTATGATTTTATTACAAGAACTGTATAGAGCGGTTTTCAATTGAGCCTCGCAAGTAATCAGGCAAGTAATTAGGTTTCGGTTTTGATTTTACTTCGTTTTGAGATTGGCTGAGTAGTCTAATTGCTCTAGTTCTGGTTTTACGACACTCAACTGAAAAACGCTCTATTTAAGGTAATCTTGGCATACTCCAGCCCTTTGTTGAATTTTAAATCAGACTAATAACCCGGCAAAGCCAGTGTAAAATGTCTTATTTAACTCAGGAAGATATGATAGAAGTTGTAAAATTAAAGTTAAAGTTTATCCTTTTACCTTCTTGGAGAATGATTAGTTATTTTGTGGTGGGGGGGGGGGGGGGGGGGGGGGGTGGATTTCCACCGCCCGTTAGGAAAAGCAAAAACATAAAAAAAAAATTGAAAAAGATTGTGGATATCATAGACAGAAAAGGCTAACACTCTGGATAGGTACCTCATTGTAATTTCTACTGTGGCATTGCTGGTATTTCTGGTGCAATGGTTTTCAATTAGATCCCAATTCTCAAATTGTAACATTTTGTGCGCGAATATCATTGAATCAGCAACCCCAAGGTAACAGCCACACAAGGTAGCCATATCACTGGTGATATAATTCTACCATACGGAATCAAAGCAAGACATACAGTAAATTCAGTTATTTAAAAATATGCAAGGACAAAAATGTTTTAAACTCGTCAAGACTTAAAAGCAGTCAGAATCAAAAGATCTATTACATGATCGATTTTATGACTGAGTTTTGTTTTGAGCCGTTACCAATTTCCCCTTTGGCCCTGCCATTGCGATACTCATTGGAAATAATGTCTTTAAAAAACTTGACTTAAGCCTGCAGTTAACCACTCAAGCTTAATTTTTTTATCCGTTTCCATCTTGTAATCTTCAGCTTTAAATGATTCGCTTTTTCGGAATAAACTTTTCTCAATCATATCAGTATCCATTATACAGCATAGTCGATATAACAATTATTCCAATCGTGCTTATTGGATATGGGATGGTAGATAGCCAACGAGGCGCATAGCGCCGATTTGGCTATAACCAACTCGTATTCGACAAGCGCGAGTGGGTGGAATAATTGTTTTATTAAAAACGCAACCAAAATACTAAACTAAAATAAAATAAAAATAAAAACGCCCCCAAAACATCACGCGTACGCTTACCATATTTGTAGAGCATGGTATAATGGCTCATAACCCATGATAGCTGAGCCAATGAAAACTCTCGAATTACATTATCCAATGATCCAGTTTTTAAATAATCTTATTACATAACTTAACAACGACCGTTTTCAATCCACAGTGTGAATGTCAAGGCGATATGACAACTGGAATTCAATATAGAGTTGTGTCTTGTACAAGAAGGCCTTGTCACTTTATCCGTGCTCCGCGCTTCCAGCAAGCTTGCAAATGTCATTAATGACAGATAACACATGCTAACTGATCTCTGAATGTATAAGACTAAATAGGAACGCCAATTATGATTTTATTACAAGAACTGTATAGAGCGGTTTTCAATTGAGCCTCGCAAGTAATCAGGCAAGTAATTAGGTTTCGGTTTTGATTTTACTTCGTTTTGAGATTGGCTGAGTAGTCTAATTGCTCTAGTTCTGGTTTTACGACACTCAACTGAAAAACGCTCTATTTAAGGTAATCTTGGCATACTCCAGCCCTTTGTTGAATTTTAAATCAGACTAATAACCCGGCAAAGCCAGTGTAAAATGTCTTATTTAACTCAGGAAGATATGATAGAAGTTGTAAAATTAAAGTTAAAGTTTATCCTTTTACCTTCTTGGAGAATGATTAGTTATTTTGTGGCCGGTTACAGAAATATTTTATTTTGTATGATGATGCTTTGTCAGTAAGATTGGGATGGGGGACGTCAGCAAAAATTTTCTACCGTTGAGTTACATTATATTCGTCAGTCTGATGGTCTCAGCACTCACAATGAGACGAACTTCATTAGAGTAAGCTTGAAAAACATGGTCCCGTCAATTTGCACAAAAGTGTTATAATGCTCGAAAATCCTCCTTCTTTGATATATGGGCGGGATTTTGCTAATAAAAGACTGATTCTTAGCCAATTTGAAGTTTAGAACCTCATAGTTCTAAAATAAAGAACTGACTGCCATAGTGTGACATAGCCTGTTGAAGGATCTCTGGCTATAAGCGATATTTGATTTTTTTTTTTCAGAATTACAAGTCAGCGAGTGTAATTTGAAAGAATTATTTTGCGATATCCCTCGTAGCGTAGATTCTTTAAAATTACTCGTGCTTTCATTCGATTACACGTGTTTTACACGAAATGTATAATTACAAATGGATTGCACGCTCGTAAATTTGTAACGCAGTGCAAATAAATAATCAACGATAACTGTGCCTGTTCTCAGCCAATCACAATGAAGAAATTTTCTCAGTTACCGAGTACAGCAAATGAAGAACGGGGCATGATGAGGCACTTTGACGCGCGCTTTTTAAATAAACAATTCAAATTTATAAGTGATCTTATTTGTTATACGTATTACGACTTAATTTGCGCGGTTCTAAGGCTGCAAATCGTCGTCTGTTCACTTCAAATGTCAATCTCCGTTGGCACACACTGATTACCATCACGTCAGGTTCACTGATTAAACTAAAATAAAAAGTGACAGAATTACAGGGACATCAACTTGAGGGCGCTCAGTCATGGCATTTTGAGTCATTTCGGCCAGGAACAAAATTACCTTTAAATAGACCAATTTCGATCTATTAAAATTCAGCCTAACACAGTAGACCTCAGTACGAGGCTCCGGGAATAAACCCACAAACCCTGTATTTATTCTCCGGAGCCTCGAGCTGAGGTCTATTGTTTTAGGCTGAATTTTAATATATCGAAATTGGTCTATTGAAGAAAACCTGAAAATAATAGTTTACTAAGACAGAAAAACACCTAGGAGATACTAATAAACCGTAAAGAAACAAGGATGATAAGTATGGAGGAGATTGATACGGATTACAAACGATTAACTTAAAAAATCATGGATAAACTTTTCAATATGCGCAGAACGTAACGTGACTAACGTAGCTCCTAAAACTCCGGGACCGGTGGAGCTTGCACTGTTTTTCAGCCAAGACTTCCATTAAAATAGAAAGTTCCGCCTCAGAGATGGTGGGATTCCCTTGTCATATGAATTAATACTCAACTTCTCCAGACATATAGTAGCAAGTAGTAATATCAACTTTATTTTAAGAGGGTGTTACATTACAGTAGACACTGATAAACAGATGAATCACTATATTAGCTCTCATAGTTATTAACCGAGCAGGAGGTCTGTATSYGAGAYTCTTGACCGAGGTCATGAGTACAGACCGAACTCGGTGAGGTCTGTACACACGACCAAGGTCAAGATTCTCCGATACAGAACGACTTAGCTCAGTTAATAAGATGTTTATTATAATTATAGCAAACAAGAATAATCTAATTCGTTTAATTTAACTGATTTGTTCCAGCTGACATTTTGCTTGCGAACGGCGATGAGTTGAAATTAAATCTGCCAAAGTTTGCTCGTCCTCTTTACTTTTTTTTCTTATCATGCTTTTTGGCACTACCATAATATTTTTAGAAGAAAATAGTCATTTTTTTTTTGGTATTTGATTTTGCAACCTTTTCACCCCAAAAAGTAACCAGTCTAAACGCCGCTCTAAGTGGGAACTAGACCGCAGTCAATATTGATTTCAGCCAATTCGTGAATTCGGTAGTGCCCAGTCCTTGTAAGACAGCGGTATGATAAGAGACATACACTTAAACTATACGATAAATGGGTAAAATCAACGTTACCTTAAACGTTTAGAGGTGTCTCACGTAGCGTGTTTGGTTTTAACAGTAGATACCTAAACCCTTACATAAAATTAAAGCTTATAGAGCTCGCTATCAAACTATACCACGTTGAATTTTTTTAAACTTTTAAATGCGAGCATCCAAATCACCTTTTTGAAATTTTTTTTTCGCCAATTTAATTTGTTCTTCAGTTAGTCCGGACCTAAAGCGTTACAAGACGTGCCTGCGTTTTGCAATATTCCATTTAATGAAATGGAACAATGGAACATTTTCGAAATAGATCGAAGTAAAAGCGGAGTGATCGAGTAAAAATCGCGCCAGGAGAAAAAATATTTGAAATTAAAAAAAATTCGGAGACATCTTTTTGTGTTTTGCATGTCAAACTAGCTACTGTCCAAATTTGAGGGCAAACGAACAAATTCCCTTTCAAAAGGTGATTCAGACACTCGTATTTAGGAGTCGTGAAAAATTAGACAATTCTTTATATTTCAAAATTCTTTGTATAGTTAGATAGGCCAGCTCTATATACTGAAGCTTTAATTTGATAAGGGGTTTAGCTATATACAGCTTAAACCGGACGTGCTGTATCTCTTGGACGAGAGACACCTCTGAAGGTATGCAGTAACCTTAAGTACAAAATTAAGAATTCTTGGTAGGCTGTGAACTTAGAACATGATGCAACATTGTGAACTTAGTACATACATGCTGCAAAATCTCAAGAACCAAACCGTGCAGTAGCAAATAATAAGATGTCAATTTCAGGAATTATTTTGACAGAACATTGCTGGCATTTCATCGTTGGTTAACAAATAAAGAGATGCTACTTAACCTAAGAACTACGACAGCAGAATGACATGTTCTAATATACTTTATCCTGTACATCTGCTACCTATTGTTCAAAAAAATACATAACTATTGATTATAATAAACTTATATGGGTGACTCGGACCAGAAACCCAGTGATGAAATGGACGGTACTCTTAAACGGCAAAATCGACAACAGACATGCATGGTTTCATAGTTTTACAAGTTACTGAAAATCCACGTGGGACACGGTATTTCTGTTTTGAAGAAAAGCACAACTAATGAGAGTCTTATTAGGGACCGTACGCAAAACACGACGTCAACGGCGACGAGAACGTCACTAAACAAAAGATTTAAAGAGTAGAACAATGGCTATGCTGGCAATATAATTCTTGGTAAATATCTCTTTTCCGTCCTCTGCAAAACAACAACGTGAAATGTCCAATTTCCAAGTTTTTTGATAACGGGACCCACAACGGCTAATTTTTCGTATTTTTAGTTGGAACTGAACGCACTCGTAGCATATTCAGCAGGGCCAAGCTTTAATACCGACAAACACACTGAATAAATCTACGTAAATACGAAATTCCAAAGTCAAACATATGCACACTTTTTAACAGGCATCGTCCTTGCCGTCGCCGTCGTGCATGCGTAATTAGGCACCTTAAGCAACAGACGTCGCCGACCTGACGAGGGCAACCGGAAACGTGACATTTCTTTCTAGACGTCACTGCGCATGCACAACACGTTGTGACCTGACGTTCCCCTGAAGAACGTGGGGTTTCACGTCGCGACGAAAACGTGAGTACTTAATCTTTTGTTTTGATCCCTTTTAGCTTGCTTTTGTGCTATTTTGGTGCCGAACCAAGGTAAAGTTGCATAATGATTGCCTTTATGCTTAAAACATAGTTTTGGAAGTATTCCTGGACTCATTTTTTCTCAACTGAAAAACTGTTTTTCGCATGTCAAACTAGCCTTCAGCGAAGAGGTTGCTTTTACCTTTTTTTTAGTTTTGTTCAGATTTTCTCAACGTATAATCGGAGATTGCTATAGCTTGAAATAACATGAATTTTATTTTGGCAATCCCCTCGTCTTGGTATTTCGTTTAACATAGAGGCTTTTTTAATCGACTCGATGAATTTTGTATTCGAACAGTGTGTACAGGTATTTTGTTAATGTTTACAAGAGCTGACAAACTTCGCGCTACCAAATTGTCTCGCCTGGATTTTATTTCTTGTACATACAAGATTATTGCATCCTTCGTAGAATGCTGTTTACGATTCTTTATAAAAAGAGCTGGCAAAACTCCTGTATTTGAGCGCCCGATCAATGTGTCGAATGAAAAACGCAGTTAGCTGAGATTTTGTTCAAAATCTATGTTTAGCAATAAAATCTATGTTTAGCACAACAAGGTGTGTGTGTAATCTTGGCAGTCTAAAAATACACCTGTCTTTTTCTCAATGAGCGGTGATACAAACTTCGGTTAAAAAACTTAATTAATTGCTTTAGCAATACACGTTTCACATGTAAAATAATTTTTGCTCTTTACATTTGACATTTCAAAGCAGGCAAAGTTTATTAACTTAAATTGTTTCGTTATTTTTGGCAATGATTTTACATCTCTTAGTAAAACATGAATAGTATAAGGTTTAATTACATCGAGTTATTTTTAAACTTAAGTTTATCTTCAACTCGTTGATGGAGTGGACAGAACAAAAAGAGGTGATGCTAGCCCGAGAAATCCTTCTTTAAGGATGGTAACTTGCTGTCGCGACCGCAACCTGAAGCCGTCCTAGTCCCAGTTTCTTATCGGTCGTCACGTCGCCGTCGTCAACGAAAACGTCTGTTGCTTAAGGTGCTTATTAGGTCCCTAATATTATCGCTAGCAAAGCTATTCTAAAAATGTGGCTTGCATTCAATAACATCGCCAAAAAAAAAAAAGATAATGATAACCGTATTGTTGACTCTCTCCAGGCCTCTATAGGAACACTTTCGCTCTCAGAGTGTTAGACTGGGCTGGGACTTGAAATGAGAGATCATGCTCTGGATAGTCATTTGCTATAGCTCCTACTTGTTTGTTCACCTCTGTCAGCATGTCGAGTAAATGATGATGACGGTGGTACTTTCGGATGACATCTGCCAGTACCTGATAACATGAAAACGTAATTGAATTTTCTCTTTTTTCTCGCAGAAACAACACATCTAACAACAGACAATTAAGGAGTGACCTTTACTGACGTTAACTTCTTTTCTTCTTATCCTTAAAAACCATCTTCAACCAGTGTCTTTTGCTCGCTTCTGTTGTTGTTATCATTCGGGCAGTCTCCGCGTGACCTAACATGCGACTAATGAACAAACGAGGGAAAGTCGAAGTCTAGCGAGCCGACTTCCAACAGAGAAAGATTGAAGAAAGCAACAACATTTCCATTTTGGACTTTTTTCTCCGTTAGATGCTTTAATTTTTTTTCAAGGAAAGGTTCGTAGTTCATGACTGGCTCCTTGAAAAAAAAAAACAATGAATTTTGTTCAAATTGAATCACAATGCTTTACTGAAATTCTCGAGGACAAAAATTATTCACTGTATTCCACGCGGTGGATATACACCTACTTACTTGAATATACCAGGAGCCCGCTACTTGACTTCGCCAGGCTTTGTACCCTGGTACTGTTGCGAATGAGAGCAGGAAGTCAGCTTCTAGGGGAGTAACACCGTGTGCGAGATTTGAGTCAGCACAAAGCATCATGGCAATGCCGTTTCCTTCAGTGTTCCTCAATCGTGCTGGAAGCCGATCCTTTCTTGGATCGCTTAGTTGCCCTCTACATGCTTCGATGAAAAACAGCTTGGGCTTGTTCCGAAGTGTTGGGCACTTGGTCACCGAGAACAGAGACATCAACGGTGCCACTTTGACAAACGCACCGTCCACGCCTTCAATGGCATCTTTATCACCATGCGACATGATTATGAACACAAATTCCGTAAATTGGCTGAGATCCCTTGCTGCAAATTCTTTGGCTGCTTTGAGAATTTCCGAACCAAGGAGATTCTGTAGAAACTTCACTTCGAAGTCCAGCTCGTCTCGGAAGAGATCTACTATCTTCTTTTCGTCAATTTCGGCTCCCTGACGTTCTCTCCCACGGGGAAAGTTGTAATTGTTTATTACAAGGCAAATTCCACGTCTACCTTGCTCCATTTCGTATCGGTCCAGTTCGGTCGCATCTATTGGATTCAACAAGAAACCGGCGTCAAACGTCTGAATGAAGAACATTGTTCGAAATTTTAAATGTGCAGAACTTGGTCAAAAGTATAGAAGACCTTCCGAGTTATTTGCACTACGCCAAAGCGAAAATATCCTAAAGTATTCTAGCCTCGTATGTGCCTTATCGTATGGCGCACGCCATAGGGAAAGTACGCCTTGAGTATTTAGGCTAGGACTACCATACCATAGTCAAGCATTGACAAACGAAGTATTTAATTCGAATCTTAGCTGAGAGTATTCCAGTGAGGCTTACGAAACACGAGACATCTGTCTTCTTTTTCCTTTTTACCTTTTCTATTTCCTACTACAATATTCAGAAGAGACAACCAGAATCATTGATAAAGGCCTTCAGTGGCCTCCAAAATTATACACGTCTTCACCTAGTGGCCAACTACATTCTACTTCCTACTTATAACTAGTAATACCTTCCGGTAGAGTGCCAAGTAAAAACTGTGACAGTTGCGTGCCAAGTGAAAATTAGTTCAGAGTATTTTGGAAATACCGGCAACTGATGAGATCCACACGGACGATCGAAACAACGGCTTGCCTGAACTAAACCCGGAACTAAGTTGACCAATTGCTACATTTGAATCATGTGGTGCCAGAACGAATCAAAGTGGCTATGAGCCACTCAACTTGGAAAATGGATCGTCTGCGGTAAACAGTGACAATTTTGATGCCACTGAATTGAGGTTTTAATCCGTAGGTTAAGTTAAAGTTAAAGCCCACTGGCATTGTTAAGAAATGGTGCAAAAATGCAACGGTAAGAGAATACACCAGGAGATGTAACACTGTTGAAAACATTCGTGAAGTTATCGTCCGAGAGACCGAGACAATTATAAAGAAAGTAACGCTTCTTGTTCGATCACCAAAGCAAGCTAAGTAATAATTCTCATTTTCATTCCTCTCATGTTTTTCGCTCTTTATTTTTCTAGCCAGTATCAGTGTTTTTTTTTTTTTTTTTTTTTCTCTTTGTTGTCTTTTCTCATCTTAGGAATTAAAAAGAACTGCGTCTCGTCTGCTCAACAAAGTTAAGCCCTGTTTGGCGGGGTGCGTACCTGGATGGGTGACCAAATACGAATACTCCGTGTTGTAATAACTTCTTTTTTTTGTCCCCTTTTGTCCCCTTCCCTTTCCAAGGCGATATTAAAGACTGCAGAACCCTTCCAGCCTTGTTTGATGTCGTTTCTTCTGTTTCTCAACTATTTGTTCCTCATTTCGCCATGTCCGCGTTCATGTGTATTTATTTACAATATCGTATAAATAAACAGCGGATCACGTCGTTCGAATTCTCCTCAATTCTCTTGACTGTTGATCGTCTAAAACATTGAATCCCGGGTTGAAGCATTCGAAAATTCATACAGCTCGTCAATTTTAAGACTTACAATGTCATCTTTGGCAATCGAGTATGGTTAAACCTGTATGAGCGGACACCTTCGGGAAATTAGCTATTTATGTAATTACAGGCAGCTTCTATTTATAAAAACATTTGTTCGAAAATGTATTCAATGTAGAGCATTTCTTCGGTAAGATTTTGAGTACTTGCGCCAGAAATTCAAAGAACTAACTTGATACACTACAGGCGATTGTGAAACGGCCTCACAGGAAGTGACCCAGTAAGGGAGTGAAGGAGTGAAATCGCTTCACCACTACAACTTGGAAAATAATATTTTCCATGTTAAACAAAAGGAGGAATAAACCTATTTGAGCGACATAACCTCGATCAGATAGATGCAAGAAACATATCAGAACGGTAGCGGTATTTGTAGGGGTCTAGGTATGACTGGTGTGATACAGAGTAAAAATCTTAGGTAGCAGGGGCATTTATTATGTGGAATCGCTCACTCACGTTCCTTGTCTCTCTGGAACCTCTCAATCTCTGCTTCCCGTTCTGAAAAATAAAACAAAACGGCTGACTTAGGCTCCATCCACATCATGCATGCATTTTCGAAAGGATACATTTTCGATGAAGCGTTTTCGTCCAAAAACGCATCAAAGCCTCTGTGCCCTCACTACCGTTTTCACAGTGTTTTTTTTTCTCTAAACTCCACACGTAACGCGCGATAATTCGTTTTGCTGTCGATTGCAAGTAGTTGTCGACAACTGAATATGAAGGCCCTCGAGCTTGTATAGCGTCTTTTGAATTGAAATTCCACTTCCCTTGATTATGACAGTTTGCCTATGAAAATGATGCAAAGATAGGTTCTTGAAGTATTTCATTCCCCAGGCTTTTCATCCCATCAATACCTCTCTTCCCGCGTTACACCTTAATCGCCCATTCCCTCTACGGCCGTTAAAGATAACCTTTCTGAAGTTTTCAAACCCACATCTGTCATACCCTGCTTCAAAAGGCTGATAGTTAAAGATGACCCGTAATAAGCGAATCACAAGACCTTTAAAGCCCTTCCTAGGAAAAAATTCAAACTCAGAGCATGGAACGGCCCCTGCCGCCAGCGGCTTGGGATCCATCTAATAAATAGTCTGGGAGCTTGAGTATTCCAGTGGTAATTTTTGGAAGAAACTTGCTAAGAGGGTATTTATGGGGGTCTACATATGACTGGTGAGGCCTACTCTGGGACCTTAAGTCGCCGTAACTTTAGGCGACTTTGGGCGATTTAAGGTCATGTTTCGCGTGCAAAAACACAAGAGTAAATTAGAACTCTTTTGCCGGTTGTTTATCTACCGTTTTTGTCATATTTAATCGATCCTAGGGCAGGCGTGGTAGCCTAATGGTTATTGCGCTCGACTACGGATCGAGCGGTCCAGGTTCGTGCCCTGGCTGGAGAAATTGTGTTGTGTTCTTGGGAGAGACACTCTACTCTCACAGTGCTTCTCTCCACCCGAGTGTATAAATGGGTACCGGCAAATTTAATGTTGGGGGTAACCCTGCGATGGACTAGCATCCCATTCAGGGGTGAGTAGAAATATTCCTCGTCGCTTCATGCTACAGAAACCAGGATACACTCCGGCCTGATAAGCCACATGGCTTGTATGCAGACAACTTTTACCTAATCTGTCAGTCTGAAACTATTGCTACGTTTTAAGAGCCACTGCCAGTAAATATGGAGAACTTGACGACAAGAGCGAAAATACGAATTTTCTTTTATTGCGTCAAAAAGACCCTTTTGGGAACTATTTTCAGAAATATGCGTTTAAGTTTTCAACGAGTTCACATTTTGGTGAAATCTAGGAAAGTTCGAAATACAGCTTCATCAACCAAGATGGCCGATGGAATTTATGTAAAATCGAGCATTTTCAACAGGCCAGTACAGAAAGAAGCAAACCTGCCTTGATTTCTCCGTTTTCTCCTTAGTTTTAGTTTCCATTGAGAAGATATATCAAACACAGAAAACAGTGTTTGACCCCATTGCTACGCGTCTTATTTTCAATTCTCTTCTGGGCGTTTCGAAATGTAGTCAAACGTGGTCTTTCGTGTTTTATATATTACTTATACAATCGTAACAGTCGTAAGAGGAAAACTTTTCAAGCAAATCCTATGTGATACCAGAAAAGGTAATTTCTTTTCGGAGAAATTCAAAAGGTCCCCCTGTGTAAGAGCTCTTTGCCAGTTATAGCTGGTTATACAGCCACGAACAAATCTTATGCACAAGGACATTTATTTTGTGGTACATGATAACTTACCTTCTTCTCTTTGTTTGAAAATCTTATTGTCTTCTTCCAGACCTGAAAAATTCAAAAAAACAAAACAGCTAAAGCCTACCCACACTAGTGGGTTTTCAAAACGACGGGTTGTCGTGCCAAAGTGTACGTTTTGACTAAACGTCACAACCGTAACTTATGCATGTGTATGTGATGTCAACGGCGTCAGAGTTTTTGCTTTCCACTCTAATCCGATAGGGTTCCGTTGTCAAAAGTTTTTCCGGCTCTGAGCAGCGTTTTAAATGCATGTTTTTTCAATCGCATTAGTGTAGGCGGTAGGCGAAAACGCTTACGAAAGTGTTCGTTTTCAATCAAAAATGCATTAGTGTGAACGGGCCCAAATCATTATTAAATTAGGACTCTTTAGCTTTACAATTAATGTCAATATATCTTAAATTGGATCAATGGTCTATGAACTTTCTGAATTTTAAACTTATTTTCAACTGTGCGTTGGCTTTTCATTTTCTCCTTCTAGGACTCTGTGGGAAATGTAATTACCAGGTTTTGTAAAAGAAAGCTTTGTCTAATAAAAACAATCATTTACAAAGTCCCAAACTGGATGACTTGACACCAATAAAACAACAAATTGTGTAATGCCAAAAATTGCCAATTAACCACACAGTTAAGTTATCAACTGTAAATCTTGTCAAACGTTAGGGTCTTGTTTCGGTCTATGAGTTAAATCTTATTTGCTATTGAATTGGGGTATGCAATGGACTCTCTAACAACGACTCTGCAAAAGGTAAATTGTTAGATTAACAACTGATGTAGAAAGTGTGCGTATTAGTTAATATCTACTGGAGCTGAACTGTTGCCATAAAACATCTATTTCGCGACACGTTCCATCATGCATATATCCTGTATATATACCTAACTCATACTAGAGTTTACATTTCGTAAGAACATACCTACGGATATACATATAGGAAAGACAAACTCCGCGGTAATGCGTTTAGGAAACAGGCGGTAAATTTTGGCAAGGTGTGACATATTTTGTGCGTGATATAATTTTGGGGCCCACAGTTTTAGCTAAAACTGTGGGCCCCAAAATTGTCTTTCCTATATGTATATCCGTAGGTGATTTTTTACAAAATGTAAACTCCAGTATGAGTTAGGTATATATACAGGCGCTTCTTGTTGTATTGTTTAACTCCCTGACGAAGTGTGCGTTAGTCACACGAAACGCGTAGGAGAAATAAAGAAGTTATACAACTACTTTTCGCAGAGTGCTGCTCACTAGTAAACTTTATATTAAGCTTTCCCCGCTCCTTTCTGGTTCCTCACCTGTACCGATGAAGTAACTTATTTTGTAAATATGGGGTTTACGCCGCAAAGTGTAACAACTAACGCAAAATGTAACATTAACGCAAAATGTAACAACCTTTGACGCAAAATGTAACATTGGCCTGAATTGTAACAACTTTTCAACGCAAAATGTAACAACTTCTTTAACGCGAAATGTAACAACGCAAAATGTAACAACTCTGGTCTTAATATATAAAGAGGAAAATTCAGACATATTAGCCTAGCGTTCTTCTCAAGCTTGACAAGTCAAATTACAAAAACTTACTGGTCACATGACTAGTTCTTTATTTTCTCTAGTTCAATGAAAAGATAGGTTGCTTTAAAAGAATTGTCAGTCGTGATTGTCATACCAAGCTCGTGTCTTTTCGTCCGTGCTGTAGGGACGGACAGCAACTTAATATGTTCTAACGCTAGAGAAACAACAATAAAATACACAACATGTCCGAAGTCACGAATAACTACTAACACCTGCCAGTCACAGCTGGAGACGTTAGAAGTCACATGACTTACGAAAATTGCTTGTCCACTACCTTTGCACAAAAAATTGGTCACCTACAGGAGGTCGCTAGGAAAGAGCTGACTGTATTTGATAAAATTTATTTGGTTTCGACACTGTTACTCTTATTAAAATATTTTAGAGCGCATAGAATTTAGAGTGCAGAGCGATAGAGCGGTAGGTGTGTGTATGTGTTTTCATGATGGGAAAAGCAACAGTACATTGTAAGTAAAAGCAAGTGTAGGTAAGAAGTGAAAGTTGTTTAAGTAACCATTCTTCAGGTACCAGAGATAAAACTTTCGAAATTGCTCCTGTATGTCTGTAATATTAGAGGCAACGAAGACACCACATTTATGCGATTACCACCTAATCTGACAACCGCATCAGCTTGACTTGTCCTCTCGCAATTCTGAAAACTTGAATATTGTGACCCTTCACTCCTCTTTCCTACTTTACCTCTACTAGTATGGATAGTAACTAGATAAACAGTAGAAATAGAAATAGAAATGTAGCTTGAGCTCTACCAGTAATAATTTATCGAAAGGGTTGTTACATTGTACGCTTAATGTATGGTCCTGAGGGAAACAGTTAGTTTTGTTTTCCCGAGGTTCCTGATGTTTCCCGAGACGAAGGCGGGGGAAACATCAGGACCTTCCCTTAAACAATCATATAGCAAAAACAAACAAACACATTAAAGACGGCGCAACTTCTTTATTCACAACCGTCAATCCTGCTGAATGAATAAGTCTTAACTTAATTACAAAATCATTTGTAATTATAAAAAATTGATGGTAACAATTAGATATGCAATTTTCAGAGCTTTTTTAATAACCCTCACAGATTCTGTTCGTTTCATATCTATTAACCACAAACATATAGAGTGGTCTGCCTGTGGTTGAAACTGAAAACTGGCAGTGTTCTCAGGTCCGCCCCCGTCAATCAAGCTAACGTTCGCACGTGCTGAAGATCACGCCATTTTTAATTTAGTCATGCACTGATCACGTGCTGTTGTATTCGGCGCGCGGGCAACAACTGCACAATTGTATCCCGGTCGGGATACATTTGAATTTGATCAGGGGCACGTGACCAAGAATCAAACAAATACAGTGCCCGTTTTGTTGAGTGAAAGTCTAGGTATATAACAATTTGCGTTGTTACATTTCGCGTTAAAGAAGTTGTTACAATTTGCGTTAAAAGTTGTTACAATTCGCGTTAAAGAAATTGTTACATTATGCGTCAAAAGTTGTTAGAATTCGAGTTAATGTTACATTTTGCGTCAAAAGTTCACATTTTGCGTTAGTTGCCACATTTTGCGGTGTAACAGGGGCCAACTAGGAAAGCGAATCGCTTACTTGACTCCGAAACTTAAACTTTGAAAATAAAAAATTCTGACCAACATATAGTGTAAACTTTAAAAAGCAGCAATTTAATTTATAAATGTAATCTGTGAGAAATAAAGTATGTTGACAACAATTAGTTGTCAACAACTACGTTATGACCGTTTTTTCCCCTGTGTGGGAATCATTAGTTCAGTTGTCGACAACTATTGAAACATATAACACATTTGAGCATGCGTATTGTGTTTTGAGTGTGCATAGTGAACTTTAGTTCCCAAGCTCTCACTGGCCTGATTTAGCTGTCGGCAACTAACACTCTACTGTGTGCAATGCTCCCATCGGACACAATTAGTAGTTGTCGAAAACATTTAGCTGTCGATAGCAAGTAGTTGTCGACAACTAAATGTGGAGGCCCTCGAGCTTGTATAGCGTCTTTAAAATTGAAATTCTACTTCCCTTCATTATGACAGTTTGCCTATGAAATGATGCAAAGATAGGTTCTTGAAGTAGTTAATCCCCCAGGCTTTACATCCCATCAACGCCTCTCTTCCCGCATTACACCTTAACCGCCCATCCCCTCTCCGGCCGTTGAAGACAACCTTTCTGAAGTTTTCAAACCCACATCTGTCATCACCTGCTTCAAGTGGCTGATTAAAGATGACCCGTAATAAGCGAATGACAAGACCTTTGAAGCCCTTCCTAGGAAAAAATTCTAACTCGGAGCATGGAACAGCCCCTTCCGCCAGCGGCTTGGGGTCCATCTAATAAATAGTTTGGGAGCTTCAGTATTCCCGTGGTAATTTTTGGAAGAAAACAAACCAGTTAGCTAGTAGTGTTCAGTTGACCATACGGAATCTAAACAAATGTTGTTGGCAATTTTATTAAGAGGGTATTTATGGGGGTCTACATATGACTGGTGTGATACAGAGTAAAAATCTTAGGCAGCAGGGGCATTTATTATGTGGAATCGTCAACACTCACGTTCGTTGTCTCTCTGGAGCCACTCAAGTTCTCCCTTCAGCTCTGAAAAATGAAACAAAACGGCTAACTTAGGCCCCATCCACATCATGTATGCATTTTCGAAAGGACGCATTTTCGAAGACGCGTGTTCGTCCAAAAACGCACCAAAGCCTCAGCGGACCGGCCTCATTACCGTTTTCACGGTGTTTTTTTTCCTAAAATCCACACGTAACGTTCGAAAATTCGTTTAGCTGTCGATAGCAAGTAGTTGTCGACAACTAAATATGGAGGCCCTCAAGCTTTTATAGCGTCTTTCAAATTGAAATTCTACTTCCCTTGATTATGACAGTTTGCCTATGAAAACGGCGCAAAGATAGGCTCTTGAAGTATTTCATCCCACAAGCTTTTCATCCTATCAACGCCTCTCTTCTCGCATTACACCTTAATCGCCCATTCCCTCTACGGCCGTTGAAGATAACCTTTCTGAAGTTTTCAAACCCACACTTGCCATCCCCTGCTTCAAGTGGCTGATTAGAGATGACCCGTAATAATCGAATCACAAGATCTTTAAACTCCTTCCCAGGAAAAAATTCAAACTCAGAGCATGGAACGGCCCCTGCCGCCAGCGGCTTGGGGCCCATCTAATAAATAGTCTGGGAGCTTGAGTATTCACTTGGTAATTTTTGGAAGAAACTTGTTAAGAGGGTATTTATGGGGGTCTACATATGACTGGTGAGGCCTAATCTGGGACCTTAAGTCGCCGTAACTTAAGGCGACTTTGGGCGATTTATAGCCATGTATCGTGTGCAAAAACGCAAGAGTAAATTAGAACACTTTTGCCGGTTGTTTACCTACCATTTTGTTTCATATTTAATCGATCCTAGGGGAGGCGTGGTGGCTTAATGGCTGATGCTTTCGAGTCCGGATTGAGCGGTCCAGGTTCGTGCCCTGGCTGGAGAAATTGTGTTGTGTTCTTGGGAGAGACACTCTACTCTCACAGTGCCTCTCTCCACCCGGGCGTACAAATGGGTACCGGCAAATTTAATGTTGGGGGTAACCCTGCGATGGACTAGCATCCCATTCAGGGGTGAGCAGAATATTCCTCGTCGCTTCCTGCTACAGGAACCAGGATTAGCTCCGCCCTGATAAGCCACTTGGCTCTTAGGCAGACAACTTTTACCTAAACTGTCAGTTTGAAACTATTGCTACGTTTTAAGAGCCACTGCCAGTAAATATGGAGAACTTGACGACAAGAGCGAAAAAACGAATTTTCTTTTATTGCGTCAAAAAGACCCTTTTGGTGAAGTATTTTCAGAAATATGCGTTTAAGGTTCCAACGAGTTCACGTTTGGTGAAATCTTGGAAATTTCGAAATACAGCTTCATCAGCCAAGATGACCGATGGAATTTATGTAAAATCGAGCATTTTCAACAGGCCAGTACAGAAAGAAGCAAACATGCCTTGATTTCTCCGTTTTCTCCTTAGTTTTAGTTTCCATTGAGAAGATATATCAAACACAGAAAACAGTGTTTGACCCCATTGCTACGCTTCTTATTTTCAATTCTCTTCTGGGCGTTTCGAAATGTGGTCAAACGTGGTCTTTCGTGTTTTATATATTACTTTTACAATCGTAACAGTCGTAAGAGGAAAACCCTTCAAGCAAATTCTATGTTATACCAGGAAAAGTAATTTCCTTTCGGAGAAATTCAAAAGGTTCTCCTACCTAAGAGCTCTCTGCCAGTCATAGCTGGTTATACAACCACAAACAAATCTTATGCACAAGGACATTTATTTTGTGGTACATGATAACTTACCTTCTTCTCTTTGTTTAAAAATCTTAATGTCTTCTTCCAGCCTTGAAAAATTCAAAAAAACAGCTCAAGCTTACCCATACTAATGGGTTTTCAAAACGAGGGGTTGTCGTGCCAAAGTGTACGTTTTGAGTAAACGCCACAGCCGTAACTCATGCATGTGTATGTGATGTCAACGGCTTCAGAGTTTTTGCTTTCCACTCTAATCCGATAGGGCTCCGTTGTCAAAAGTTTTTCCGGTTGTGAGCATTGTTTTAAACGCATGTATTTTCAATCGCATTAGTGTAGGCGGTAGGCGAAAACGCTTAAGAAACTGTGCATTTCAAAAAAAAATGCATTAGTGTTAGATTAGGACTCTTTAACTTTATAATTTATGTAAATATATCTTAAATTGGATCAATGGTCTATGAACTTTCTGAATTTTAAACTTACTTTCAACTATTCGTCTGCTTTTCTTTTTCTCCTCCTTAGACTCTGTGGGAAAAGTAATTACCAGGCTTTGTAAAGGAAAGGTTTGTGTAAACAAAACAATCATTTAAATAGGCCCAAACTGGATGCCTTGACACAAATTAAACAACAAATTGTGTAATGCCAAAAATTGCCAATTAACCAAACAGTTAAGTTATCAACTGTAAATTTTTTCAAACTTTAAGGTTTTGTTTCGGTCTAAGTTAAATCTTATTTGCTATTGAATTGGGTTATACAGTGGACTCCCTTACAACGACTCTGCAAGTGATAAATTGTTAGATTAACAACTGATCGTAGCAAGTGTGCGTATTAGTTGATATCTACTGGAGCTAAACTGTTGCCATAAAAAAAACGAATTTCTGTACAGTGAAAAGTTTAACGTACCTCTAATCCTTCTCAGAAGCTTCAGTCTGTCTTGATTGTACTCTGATTAAAAAATGGCCATTTTCGTGTTTTATATATTGCTTATATAATCGTAAGAGTCGTAAGAGGAAAACCTTTCAAACAAATCCGATGCGATACCAGAATTTAAAAGCTAATTTCTTTCCGTAAAAATTCAAAAGGTCCTACTAGCTAAGAGTTTTACTCTCTGAAACTAAACTTTTGCCATTTATAGCTAGTTAAACAGCAACGAAGGAAATCTTATGCACAAGGACATTTATTTTGTACTACATGATAACTTACTTTCTTCTCTTTGTTTAAAAATCTTAATGTCTTCTTTCTGCCCTGAAAAATTCAAAACAAAACAACAACAAAAAAAACCAGCTAAAAGTCTACCCACACTAGTGATGTGATGTCAACGGCGTCAGAGTTTTTGCTCTCCACTCTAATCCGATAGGGCTCGGTTGTCAAAAGTTTTTCCGGCTTTGAACAGCGTTTTAAATGCATGCTTTCTCAATCGCGTTAGTGTAGGCGGTAGGCGACTGAACGCTTAAGAAAGTGGTCGTTTTCAATAAAAAATGCATTAGTGTGAACGGGGCCCTAATCATTATTAAATTAGGACTCTTTAGCCTTACAATTTATGTCAATATATCTTAAATTAGATCCATGGTCTATGAACTTTCTGAATTTTATTCAACTGTGCGTTGGCTTTTCATTTTCTCCTGCTGGGACTCTGTGGGAAATGTAATTACCAGGTTTTGTAAAGGAAAGGTTTGTGTAAACAAAACAATCATTTACAAAGTCCCAGACTGGATGATTGACACCAATAAAACAACAAATTGTGTAATGCCAAAAATTGCCAATTAATCAAACAGTTAAGATATCAACTGTAAATCTTTTGAAACGTTAGGGTTTTGTTTCGGTTTGTAAGTTAAATCTTATTTGCCATTGAATTGGGGTATGCAATGGACTCTCTAACAACGACTCTGCAAAAGGCAAATTGATAGATTAACGACTGATGTAGAAAGTGTGCGTATTAGTTAATATCTACTGGAGCTGAACAGTTGCCATAAAACATCTATTTCGGGACACGTTCCATCATGCATATATCCTGTATATATACCTAACTCATACTAGAGTTTACATTTCGTAAGAACATACCTACGGATATACATATAGGAAAGACAAACTCCGCGGTAATGCGTTTAGGAAACAGGCGGTAAATTTCGGCAAGGTGTGACATATTTTGTGCGTGATATAATTTTGGGATCCACAGTTTTAGTTAAAACTGTGGGCCCCAATATTTTCTTTCCTATATGCATATCCGTAGATGTGTTCTTAGGAAATGTAAACTCCAGTACGAGTTAGGTATATAGACAGGCGCCTCTTGTTGTATTGTTAAACTCCCTGACGAAGTGTGCGTTAGTCACACGAAACGCGTAGGAGAAATGAAGAAGTTATACAACTACAGTTCGCAAAGTGCTGCTCACTA